GGGGCTCGAGGGGGCAAGGGATGAAACACAAGGGGGGAATGAAGGGGGCTCGAGGGGGCAAGGGATGAAACGCAAGGGGGGAATGAAGGGGGCTCGAGGGGGCAAGGGATGAAACGCAAGGGGGAATGAAGGGTATTGGGGATATTTGGTCCGCCATCGGAGCTCAGGCCAGTGGGCCTGTGCCATGAAAAGTCGTCGATTCTACAGTCCTCGAGCGGTCATTCTGTATAAACCTCCCGTTTCTGTGCAATCCAGAAAGAACATCCCCCAAAGTTTCAAGAAGCTTTAGGCCGAAAATGGGTGGCACCCTCCACCCTCTTGTGGAACCTTCAACCCGATGAAGTGGCCGATGTCTGTGCCTCGTTGGGGAGGTGGTCGCTCTCAAGAAGTGCTTCGACGCCTTTCAGAATGCCACGGATGCACAACGCACGTTCCGAGAAATCATGTTCTTGCAGGAGCCAGAGCAACCCTGAAGCCAAGCACCAAAGCCCACCCAAGCCCAAACCCTACACTCAAGCGTACAGAGCCTTGACACCTTGAAGCCTTACTATTTACAACCGTAAGGCCACCTCGACAGCACATGTAGGTAGGGCATGCGGATGAGTCCTAGAAGAAACTGTTGCTATTTGCGGCTGTTCATTCTCAAGAATCAAGCAACACGGAGACTCTTCAGTGGTGGACATCCATGAGTTGAACAAAAAGTGTGAAGGGTCAACTCCGGTCAGTACCTCAGAAATGTTACAGTGGAGAAGTGGAGAAGTGACAGCCATCCTTGCTCGCTTCATAGGAACTAGCTCTCCGCAGGGGTTGGACATGGCTTTGCATAGGAGCTGAACGGGCACGAAAACATCGTGCGGCTCTTGAATGTGCTGAAGGCTGACAATGACCAGGACTGAAGCGGAAACACAACTGGTTGCATGAGGCAAGTGGATTGGTTGGGTTTTCCTCATCGTCTTCAGGTCTAAGGACAAGAACAGATGTGTCAAAACTCTCGGACAGTTGTACCATAGGTTCAGGCAAGAGTGGAAAAGATTCACCATGAGCAGAGCATATTATATAATCTTTATACTTTGCGGTTCATTGTTCTTGCCCTCCTTGTGCTGTTCGAAGCCCCTCTTGAAGGACATCTACTTGATATGTGACTACATGGAGTCTGATTTGCACGCGGTCATTCGCGCAAACATCCTGGAAGAAATTCACAAGCAGCCGCCCGGTCAAGTTGAGGTATCGGGCGGCGGGGATTGACGATGATGGAAGAAATGCGGTATCCACAAGCAATCATAAGCACATCTGTCACATGAGCTTTTGAACGTCTATGCCAGGAGACGAGCGATGATCAGCTCGGGCAAGCTATACATACATATTGGTATATGTCTTTGTGTGTGAAAGATGAGCTGCGCATCCCAAGCAGTCGAACCAAGCAAAAGAACTTTTTGTCATGCTTGGCGGCTCGCAAGATGCAAGCACTGAGGAAGTACCTGGATTTTCCTTAACATGTGTGCTTGACCGCGCTCCAATTTGTGTCATCTGAGGTATATCATCTACCAGCTCCTCAAGTCATTAAAGTTTATGCACTCGGGGCAGGCTGGCTTGCCGGTTGATGTGCTGTAACCAAGCTGAAGGCTATTTTCCTGTACGGCCATCACAAGATCTGGGGTTTCAAGGCATTCTGACTTAGCACTGATGTAGCACCGCATGCTTTTTCTGTTGATGCCGGAGTGATTCCAACCGACCTCACCCATTTGGGGTGAACGGTTTCGTGCTCGTTCCAAACCGGTGCTGCTGCACCGCATGACTGCTGTCGGCTCGAGAGCGATACGATCGGGGACCCGTGGTGACGGTTCCATCGACCAAATATGGGGAACTCAGAGAGCCTGGCGCTGAGCGGAGTGAAGAGAGTGAGCGAAGATGCGGGGAGGTTGAGGGCGGTGTATGGAGGTGGAGATTTGGGGGGGAACGCGGGATGGTGGAGAGGAATGGAAGAATGCTGTGAGGAGGGTACAGTTGGAAGACAGCAGTATGAGTGCCTTGATGACGATCCCATAGCTTCTTGTTTTCATTGAATTTCCATTTTATTTGTTTATATCCGAAGCTTCAAGCCTTTCTCAGGCTTGACCCGAGAAGAAATTCACTTCATCGCCAACTTTAGCCAAAAGGCCCCGATGTCGCCCGATGTTTTGGACCTTTGGGTCCTGGACGGTGGCTTCTGGTGGCATGTCCACCGGTGCCAACAGACCGGCCCGTGTTGGTTGGCACTGGTTGGCTGGTGACAGGATGTGAGAGAGGGTTCCGGGTGCCCTGAATTCAGAGGGTTCCTGGTTCAGAGGGTGTTTGCACGATTGCTTGATGTAGCAGTATGCATTGTTCTTTCTTTTGGCGCAGCCGATGTAAAGAGAACTATTTAGTCTAGTCTTATTATAAGAGTATGCGCAATGGCTTGAGTGATGTACCACGCCAGGATGTGACGCGCCTCTACCATCGGTTTCGAAAACTGGACGAGGACCGACCGGGCCAGGACGGCACAGGAACTGAAGAGTCAGCGTTTTTCTTGAACCAGTGGGACCAGGTAGGTGCAGTAGAGGCCGCCTTCTTGGGAGAGTGGGGGCAATGAAAGCATATGAAGGCATGAAGATGGACAATCCTTTGAACTTCAAATTGCCCAGTCTTGGCAAAGAAGCAAGTGGCACCCTTGACTTCCACCTGTTTCACAGGGGGAAGTGACAGAGTTTGTTCTGGGTGTCTTTGGTGTCTTGGGTCAGGACGTGTCCATTGGTGCTCCTGTTTCAAAAACCTCATTGAGCCCACTTGAGTGACCTTTGTCAGGCAAAAGGAGAAGACCGCAGCTTGCCTACTGTACCACCCAAAAACACCTGTTTTGGAAACAAGACTTTGCGCGCTGCTCACCTGTGCAAACCACCTCAGAACTCAACCTTTTCAACCACCTCACTTGAAGGATCGGATTGTTTCGATTTCAAAGTAACAGGTGTGGATCAAACGAGAGTGACAGACCACAAAAACCAGACCAGAAAAAGCCGCAAAAAGAACAGACACCTAAATGAGGCTTAAAACTTTATGGATCACCCGCCTCATTTGTCCTTCTATCCCAGACCACCGCCTCTCACCCCTGCCTCTCCCGGCGCGCCCCCTCCGCCTTCGGCTCCAAGAGCCCCGAGGGCGGGGCTTGCGCCGCAGGATGGAGATGGTCAGCTCGACCCCAACGAAATCTTAGGAGCCCGGAGCCCCGAACATCCGCGGCGACCGCCCGTGGGGTGAGGGTGGAATCCCTCCGGGTCGCGGACCCGACGGGATGGACCTGGGATCACTTCCTGACGCTCAAAAGCGCCGTGAAGGGTGCGAGTTCAGTGGCCGTAAAGGGTCTGCAGGTTTGGAGGCTCGGTGTGGAGCGGATCGAAGCAGCAGAGAGTCAGCAGCATCGGAAGCTTTTCGGAAAGACTGGCGCGAAAGATGGCGCAAAGAACCACTTTGGGGAATAGAAAGGGCATGGGCAGCTTCTTTATATAGGTGTGTTCCCCCTGATCAATCCATTTGTGGAGGTTTGAAGGTCAAAGGGTACTGAGGCCAACCTCTCCTGTAGCTGTTATTGAGTAGTTAGTAGTCTTAAGGTCCCAGATTGTAGATATAGCTTTGAAGTTATGAAGGTTTTGTCGGCTGAAGTAACTCGCGGACATCTAGGTTGTCCTCGCAAACAATATCAAACAATCCTGCAGTCCTCTTGTATGGCTTGAAGAAGCAGCCTGTATCCAACAGCTTGCCCCCCCACCGCGGCCGACTGTCAGCAAAGTGGTGGCGGACAGCCAAGGTGGCGGAATTGGCGGAAAATCCTTTAGTTCAAAGAGTCATATCAGTGTTTGACAAGGCCGGCATACATTGGAGGGTTGGGGGGAAGGATGATGGAGGAAAAGGGAGTCGGTGTACACACACAAGCAGGGCCCCGGAGGTTTCACCTTTGCTCGACTTCCTCGTGCAGTGGGGAGACCTTTATCAATCTTTGGAATCCATACTCGTTTGTTTGTTCATCACCTCTTTATTGACGAACATGATCACATATGATAGCTCACATCACAGCCTGCCGTTCCAACCAAACACCACGGCGATTCCGTTTTCTGCCCCAAAAACAAACGGCGCCAGCACCAACGGCCCGAACGCGGAGTTAGTCAGTCGGGTCAGTTCTGCTCTGAACGCAGGATGGGAACGGGACTGTGTCCTTCATCGAGTTCCTACTGGGCCTGGCCAAATTGGCAGGCAGCACCTCCGAGGAGCGCACAACCCGGACGAAAGACCGGAGGTGTTTGATGTAAAACTAGATTAGAAAACAGGCCCCATAAACTAACCGACATCAGCTTGCTTGGTTCTTTCCTTGGTTTATCTTGGTTTCGTGTCTCTTCTTGCATGATGGCGTTCTTTTTTCTTCACATCATGTTCTCCAGTGGTCGAAAGAACCAGAGGCGGTTTCGTTAGTGGCACCCAGGAGCACAAGCTCCGCTTTGCTTTTGCCATCTACGACGTGAACAAGGACGGTTTGAATGGAAGAGTGTGCATGGTCACATTTGAGACATCCCCAAAAGTGAGGCGGCTACCAGAGCATTGGCGCTTCTAGTTTTTTTCCAGAGACAGTTTTTGTCACAGTGTCTTGACACGGCCTCGTGTCTTCCTGAGATCCAGTTGTTTTTTTTGCAAATCAAATCTATCAATGTGACGACTCCAGGTGCCTCTTTTGAGTGCAGTGTGAAATCTGGTGTCGAAGAATAAGCAGTGTGTTGCCGGCAGTTGCGGGTGTCGAGTTGGGACACCGGAGGCGAAGACTACTTCGTTTTTGGCAGGAGATTTAGACTGAGTCACCTAACTCACAATGATTGAATCAGGTCGTTTGATTCTGCCCAGCGACCTGTTCTGCCCACTTACTTGGATATTCCACCTGATCGGTGGATGTTCCGGTCGGGTCCCGGTGGGGCCGCAGGACGGATATATCTCCAACGGTGACCTCTTCGCTGCGCCTTGGGTTGGAAAGACTGGAGACGTTGCGTCCTAGGATCCTCAACACAAATAACGAAGGACCGCATCTGGAACCCAATGACTTCAAACAGCCAACCCTTTTTATCAGGCCATTGGCCTTGTATTGTTGTTAGGATGAGGTCCTTGTTCCTTGTGTGCAAGATTGTTTCGGTGTGGATGGCCCTTTTTTTTGGTAGAGATTCGAGATGTGACGTTCTGGACACATCGCGATGAACAAGGAAAACCTATGGATGCCTGACGTATCGATGGATTCTAGACGCCAGTATGGCCTTCTGAGCCGGAGATTTATGGTGGCTGCAATATCATGTTGTGGAGGGTCTTTTGCCGTGATTGCGTGACAGGAACAAACATGGAAACAGACAAAACATTGGCAATAGCTTCAATAAACCATGGGCAAACATAGCAAATCCCAAAAAAGGCAAGTGCTTTCGGATTTCGCTTCTCTTGACATTGGCAGACTTTAGTAGCCCGAAATTGGAGACAGCATCTATGTAGACTGTGTGACAGGAACAAATACGGACATTTCTGACTCCTGTGAACTCATTTTCAAGCTCATCCACGTTTGAGCATTCTTTGCCCGTCCGGTATGGCTGACGGCTGGCGTTGATCATCGTTGTAGCACAATGGCTAAGGGGACAATCGTGGAGCCTCATTTGTTGTGGTGTCGAGTTTGGAGGGGGTGAGGCATTTTCCTTGTAAACATGCAAGTTTCTTAGGGTCACCTCCGGGAAATTCGTCCAGAGATCCTTTTTGAGCTTTTGACTTGTGTTGCATTGGAGCTCTCCAGGCGGTCTTTTGAAGTGGATCCGGGGGGATTCGCTCGGCGGTGTTGTCTTCAGTCTTTCTTGGGCGAGTGGGAGCATGGAGCCTGAAGGTATTGAAAACAGGTCTCGGGCTGGGCAAACAGGTCCGGGTGTCTTAGCCAATTACTTTTGTAGTCTCAAATCGTGTCTTCGGGGCTCACTGGCCCTTGTGGGACTGGCTGTTACGCTGTTCGTCGCATGGCGTGGCTTCTCGCCCTCGAGGATGTGGTGTCCGCTTCTCACGGTTTGATATAGATGATGAACGCACTGGTCATGAGAATGTTTTGGGTGCATGGAAGTGGTGTATATAGATGCTATATTGAACACATTGGACGCACTTCTATTTGATGTAGATCATATTGGCACCTCCAGGGGTGAAAAAGCCCGCACTCACCGGTTCTGGGTCAAAAGTGTTCCCTCGTTCGGAGTCCAGCATAGTCCGGTTCGTCGGTTCTAGGTCATGAAGATGATGGTCGGAGACAACTTGGGAGAGACACAGCTGCAACAGCTCGTGGATCGGCAATTGGTCCGGGAAACTCAGAGAACTCAAAGGGGCCGAGCTTCGCCGTGGTGGCGCGTGAGCGAGTTCCTTTTTGGGTGGCCGGTTCGTGGGGGAACAATTTGGAGACGGCCGAGTTCGGATGGAGACAGCCGGCAGAAGCCGGTGAAATGGAAGGATCTAGTTGGCCAGATGTTTCTAGGAAGGAAAAACCACAGATAGGAAGGCTTGCAGTGCGAGAGGATCTGATAGGCCGATAAGAAATTCGTTTGGACCAGCAGTTCCAAAAGAGTTCCTTGAAGCCCCGGCCCAATCTGAGGTCTCTTCAGATCAGGATGGTGACGGAAAGCTGTCCTTTGAGGAGTTCAAGGCTGGTCATGCCGCAAGATACGAAGCCATGTGGAAGCCAGGCTGATTGTAACGCCATTTCGGCCAGTTTCTTTCAGGATTTCTGGACTCGGTGGATGGCTTCCCCCCTCACAGCTCGAGGACAGCTTGAGGACAGGACATGGCTTGTTGCCCATGAAAGACCTTTTCGCAGATAGAGGCAGTTCTTCCGGTCATGGGTGTTTGCGCAGGGGTTCACCCCTCCCCATGAGATTGGACAGCCAGGTCCCCCTCAAACTGGTCTGTCGTTCTGTCTCTCTGTGTCTTTGAAAGAGGGAACCCTTGATCGCCAGGCAGCAGTGCACAGCATTGGTGGGGAGTCTGAGATTGGTTTCTTTTGGGGTGGTCCATGGTGGGATGGGTGGGGATGCAGCTCTCTTTTTCTCACATGGAGAAGGGCTGAGTGTTTATGGAGCTGGATCGATCCAAGAGAAAGCGTGACACTGCCGGGCTTGCCTTGAAGGTGTGACAGTTGGGTGAATCGAAGGGCTCGCTCCTCCAGAACCCAAGAGCTCGGCAGGGGGGACCAGTTGCTGTCGTTTTTGTAAGCCAAGAATCTGACACCTTTATGCCCTGAGCCTCTTTTTTGGGGGGGGGCCAGATTGAGGGGGTGAAGGACTTGGAAGTAAACCTCCTCGAAGTGATCTGGAGGCATCCGTTTTCCCCCTTGGCTAGGATGCGATTGATTGGACCCCATCACTCGTTGTTTCCTCGTTTTCGTGCGACTCCGTCCGGGCCGTGCGGTTCGTCGGATCTTCGACCCACAGATCAACGGCCACCCTCCCGGCGGGTCTGAGGCGTTGCCGAGCAGCTTTCCATTGATCTGAGCTCCTACTCTTGAGGGGAACAAATTGGTGGCAATCCCCCCCAAAGCCGATCAAGGATCTCAGACACGTGTGGGGACGTTTCTTCCCCTCAACCTTCCCAATGATTTCAACGTGCCAGTGGCGTTCAATCTGGCCCTGGAATTTTTTGGGCTGGCGGAGGCCGCGAAAGGAGAAGCTGATGGTTCGTCGCAATCAACAGTTGGGGTCTTCATCACAGCTGCAGCTCGAAGCCCTGGATGCCACAGACAAGATGCGACTGACTACGTTGATATGTTCAATCGGTCGGATGAAGCGTTTGCAGCACAACGCAGAGAAGCTGTGGACGCTACGAACCGAACAAAGGGCATCGCTACTAGGAGGAAGTGCATTACTACTAGGAGCAAATAGCTATTAGTAATAAGGGCATCGCTATTAGGAACAAGAAGCTACTAGGGGCTCCTGGCATAGGAGCAAGGACGCTACTAGGGGCTTGTGGCCTTACTAGGAGCAAGGACGCTAGTTGGTGGATGAGATGATTCAATATCCCCAGAAGCACCAGATGCTCGTGGCCTGCGGGTCGAACTAGGTACGATGAGATACGCCCTCCGGAACCGGAGTTGGGTCGAACACGCTATTGGTTCGTTTCGCAAGGCGTCTGTGACCGGGACGACCTGGTCGTTGGACCGCTGAGGTCTCGAAAAAAGTAAGGGTGGTTTGGGACCCACATGAACCGCAAGAAACATGGGCCATGTCCTCCGTAGTCTGTTTTTATTTTTTTCACAGCTGATGTGAGGCTTGTGTTTGGGGCGAATCGCCTTCCAAGTTCTTGCCGCGTTGCTTCATCCACCATCACATCGTTGGGTCGAAGGGACGGATTTTTCGCAGGTTCGCATGAGGGCCACAGGTTCTCCTTTCTAAGAAGTCCTCCAGTTTTCACCTGCAAAGAGAACGAGATTCTGCAATCCTCCTTCAGTGTCTGGCTGCCCGCGTCCATTCCCCGACCACACGAGCAGAGTTGCATGAACGCATGAACACCTTCGACAAGAGTCATTTTACCTCATTCAGGGGATCAAGAGTTTCATGGGTCGACAGTTTTAGGGGCATGTGCTTGGAGCTTTGGTCTCATCACCAATGTTTGGTACTGCTTTCTGTACCTTTTTCCTCTCTCTTTTCCACACGATCTCTAGAGACCACTTCCGATCGCCCGAACTGCAACAGGCTAATCTGGGAGATATCTGCTGCAGTTTAGCCAAAGCACATTGTTTGCGTTGCTTTCTGAAATGGTTGCTTTTGGAGTTGGTCATTCATTTGCCTGCTCTTTTGGTTGGAAGGTTTTGTCTAGAAACCACAGGACACCAAACCCCCCAGTGGTAAACAGAAAAATGGCCAGCGCATTCGCTGCTTCATAATTATGTGGGTAGACAAACTTCAAAAAACTCCACTGGAAATGAACATGAGGTGCCAGATCTGCCCTGTTTTGGGGCGATCCACTTCAGAGTTAAGTCACTTTCCACAACTAATGGCATAATGGGGCAGCTCTCAATCACAACTCATCGGCGGGTCACGGGCAGCCTGAAGCTGAAACCAGCGGCTGAGGGGGGAAAGGTACAGCTGCGAGTGTGCGGAGAAGAGGATTTGCATTTGAGAAGAGTGTCTGTTGAGGCTGATCATGGGCAGATGATACATGTATAATAATGTATATGTATATATATATATATATCACCCTCCCTCAAGTGTCTACCTCTTTTGGTTTGCTAGCATTTGTTTATATATATATATATATACATATATATATATATTCTGGAACATGACATAGATCACAACTGCCTGTAGACAGGTGAAAATTGCGAAGGTTTGCTTCCACCAGTAGGGACCATACCACAGCACCCGCCGCACTCGCGCTTGTTTCCTGGTCGACCATAGGGCCACATCCCCTGGGTTGCTGTGCATGCCGAGACACCACATGATCATGGACCAGTCGCAGGAAGGAATCAGTCGCCAACGTCTCACCGGCATGCGGCATGTCGCCCCTGTGCGGTCTGGATCCGATCGAGAGATGTCGGGGATCGACGCTCCGCAACGGCAACCCGGTCGGCGGAGCGGGAGAGAGCGGAGCGGCGAGAGCGAAGCAAAAGGTTGGCGGCCCGCGTGGCGGCGAAGGAGGAGCAATCATTCTTTGGGTGTTTCAGACCTGTTTTGCAGGACTGGGGGGACAGAACAGACATGAACCGAACTCCGAAGAAGCACTGCAAGCTGCAAGTGGGCGATTTGGGATGAGATTTGGGGAGTCAGGGAGTCGTTTTGGTGGGACGATCATGAGATGGAGCGGTGCTGCCGGTCGGCACGAGCCCGGGACGGTGCATGAACCTGGCTGTTCAACAGTCACGTGTTGCACTTCTTTCATTCTGCTTCACACCATGTTTCATCCCTTCGCGCCATCCGTTCGTCGCGCCGGTTGTCCTTTTGGTGCAGATGCTTCACCGGGACATCAAACCCTCGAACATCCTCTTAAATTCGGACTGCCAAGTCAAGGCCGCAAGCCCAGACCGGACACCGTGGGGGCGGGGAGCCGGGTGTGTGAAGGGATGGAGGATTGAGGCGATGAAAGGAGCCCAACATTGTGACGTGAAAGTACGGGAAGCCCCCCCCCCAAAAAGAGCAGACTGTAGGGGTCCGGCAAGGGTTTTCTATAGGCTTTTTCTCTTGACGGTCCGTGAGTTGGTCTCTGATGAGGTCTGCGACTTTGGCCTGGCAAGAAGTGTTGTGCAGCAGCAGGACAACGTGGCTTGGCACAGATCTTGAGGAGGACAAAGAGTATGGAATAGTCTCAACTTCGGATAACTTGGGATGATTTCTTTGCTGGGATGAGTTGCAGGTTTGGAGGGGGCGCATATTTTTGGTAGGATACACCACTAGGACAAAAGCTGTTCTTCTTAGATGGTTCTAAACTAAAAGCCCTTTCCCCGTAGAATCCTGCAAGTTGGAATCCTGCAAGTTGTTACTTTTACTTGACACGGTCGAATTTCCTTCCTCCAAAGCCGTTTAAATGTTAAACATGTCAGAGAACGTGATAATTGACCCTCCCACACCGGCCACGCGAAATAGACTTCCTAATTCGACCGCGGCTGATCCACATAGATGTGGTAAGATGCGGTAAAACACTTTCTTCCTCCTGAAGTACACAGTATACCGAGTAGGTCTGAAACAGGAGTAGGTCCATGAACATTACCCTGAACTCGGCAAGATCTGGTCGACATTGATTCTCCAAATAATTCCAAATGTCCAAAAGCCTCCTGTCACGTAGATCCTGTTCGTATGTTTCTTGGAGAAGTGTGCGTATCTCAGTTTAGTCACTGGACCCGTTGAGATGGAGGAATTCTCCCATGAAACGTCTAAAGTCGTCGTCCTGATGAAAAAGAACCTGCAGAACGCTGCGAGTTCCCTGCCCGCGATCCTGGCGAGTCGGGCCTCACCCAGACCGCTGTGCGACGGTGTGAGGCTCAAAATCCCGTGCTCACGGACTACGTGGCTACACGATGGTGCCCGTTCCCGCCGAATGCCCGTTCCCGGTGGAGCGAGCTCGTCCGTGGCTCTGGACGGTGCGGAAGTTGGAAGCGCGAGAGCGCGTTCGTTGTACTTGTAGATATTCATTGGATGGGCATTTACTTTGTAGGTCTTCGATCTGTATACTTGTTGCATCTTCTTTTTCGCATGGCTCAGGTTTTTTTGGCCAAGACGAAGTGGTTGGGAATGGTTTGGTGTCCCACAGCATCCGATGGAGAAGCAGCTCGAATACTCCTCGGGCCTTTCTCGCCACATTTCCTGTGAGTTTCATGAGCCGTTGCAGGAGAGCCAATAGAAACATGAGGTTGAGAACATCGCAAAGAGCATGAGAAGAATCCAGCCACCACAGAAAAGCCTATGAGGCAATGATTTTATCCTCAACATGCTGAGTTCAACACACATTTGATTGCTGCTCTTTGTTTTGTACATTTGGAACAGACATATCAAAGTTGTTAAGTTGATAAGCACGACAAGCAGAAGATAATCAATAAGAGCTTCGGACACATCATGCGACTCCATGGAACCCGGCCGACCCAGCCCCCGAAGATGGTTCCTGTCCTTTTCAATCGTAAGGATTCTTGTACTTCATTCATAAGACATACAGCATCGGCAAGTCACAAAGTCGGACGGCTAAGCTCTGGAAGTATCCACTGAAACTCAACTCATTTGCAATGGCCCAGATGGAGGCCCAGTGCCCGTGCGCGTGCACACGCGCTGGCGCGTACTGTAGGTGTCTTGAGAAAGTCAGTTGAAGGTAGACGCTGACATTCAGCCCTAGGCTACTTCTCGTGTGATAGGATCCTTTTTCATGCAGGTTCTTGCTGCATGGTAATTAGTTCAGATCCTGAAAGCCGGAAGAGGTGTTGCCTACGAGGTATCCATGAAACCCAGCAGAGGATTGTTAGAGGATCTCCATGATTGATTTTCTCTCTCCTTCAACCTGCCAAGCCAAGCAGCCTGCTTTGCAGGCTGCCCAAGCCAAGCAGCCTGCTTTGCAGGCTGACTCACCCTATGAATCTCGTGTGAAGCCCCAGGGAAGCCAAGAATGATGCTACAGTAGCAGGGTGGAGATGCAAGGAGCTTTAATATAGAAGATTATACCACCATCAGTCGAACAAGTGGAAGAAACGCACACCCTACTGATTCATCTCCCCTCTGGGCAATGTGCTGATGTCATGCTGTCGGGGGTTTAGCTGAACTCAGGTGAAAAGGGCAAAGACAAGCTCTTCGATGCCTACTGGAGGCTGCTTCGACACCGGTTTCTGATGCGTTTTCTGAAGAACCTGTTCCCAGATCCAAATATTCTGGTATAAAGAATGCTTGCACGACCTTTTACTTTGGCAGTGAGATTCATCACTCTTTACTGCGTTTCTCATGGGGGGGAAGAATTTTGTATTCGCACCTGGCACAATCAGTATGGACCCCAATAGACTCATGTAGAGAAGGAAAGGGATTGGGCCTTCTCTGGTGAAGCTCTGACTCCCGACATCAGATGGCGCGACGTCGGATCGGCTGGACGACGTTCCGAAAGTCCGAAAGTGCCATTCTGGCACGTCCGACTGAGGTTGGACTGTCCCACCTCAGGAACCACCGTGGAGGCGTGGCGGTCCGAGTGGCCGTTTTGCGGTCCGTTCGAAATCCGTTGCAACCTCAGGGGAGACCACGGATGACAAACCCAGGAAGTGAGGACCTGGATATCTTTGGACGCTCATGATTTTAACTCAAAAACGTGGTAGTGAGTCACATAGCAACTATGGTTCATGTCTGCTCTTGCTTTGCAGAAAAAGAGCCCAGGGAATCCAGACATTTGTAGGGCATAGCCTAGCGGCATCGCCTCCACTGGCCTCCTTGCAGATGTTTCAAACGAGCAAAGGACCAGCCTGATGGACCGATCGGAGTCCAGTAGGTCAGCCAGTTGGCAGGGTTGGTTGGAAGGCTGGGTCTCGGCCCGAACTCCGATGGAGTTCGGGTTTGGTTCGGGTCCAAACCCCCAAACCGGTTGGGTGGAGAAGGTCTTTTCGCCCGGTGTCGGGCCCGAGCTCGGAGTCGGTCGGGGGGTAGACAGATGACCCAGTCGTCTCACGTCCAGTTTTTGGGGCTGGGCCAAAGTCCAGTCTTCATGGCCAGGAAGAAGAATGACCAAATTCTCATGTCCAATCTCCAGGGGGGGCCAAACCCATGGCCAAACAAACCCATGGCCGATTTGGCTGGAACTCAGCTGTTGGGAGCTTGCCTCGTGACAGGCCTTTTGGCCTGATTTCAGCTGCTGGCTACCGGTGAAGTTCCTTCGAGTGAGCCGTGGCGGAACAGGTTCTGAAGGGGAGCGAGCACTCATACAAGACTTACTCTCCCAAAGCTTACACAACCCACCTGGAGGTAAGTAATTTTTTCAAAGCCTCCAAAGGCACTTGAGGGTCGCTGTCGTAGTTTGAGCAGAGTAGATGTGCTAAGATGATTCAATGAAGCACTTTCCAGCTGCATTCAATCAGTCACGAAAGGCTTCCTCCAAAATACGTTTCATTGTTGGACAATGTCTCAGACAATGTTGAGATAGCAATTTTAGAGTGACATTCTTCATATTCTACCCATCAACATAGAGATGAACATGGCTTATTGGCAGAGGAATTGTGTTTCTTGTGTCCTGTGTCTATGTTACTAGTAGTGCAGCTCTACATAATTGTTCACGTGTTTCCTCAGGAAGTGTTCTTTGCGTCTACTGGCCGCCACTTGCACATATGTATATATATTGCGCATATATATATATATATTTGTGCAAAGACACACGGACCTCAACAACCTTTGCAGGTTGCTTTTGCTTTGTTTTCGTTTGAACAAAGCCATTCCCCTTCGTTCTTCCGCCGTGGACCGTGGACTAGAGCCCGATCGAAGTAGGACCGCGCCCCCTTTCTTTCCAGCCTATGTGGGAGTTGGGGTGGAGGGGTTGACCCGTCCGCCCATGGTGCGAGTTCGACCGGTCCACCAGGTAGGTCAAGCGTTTGGGTCTCCGTGTTTGGACCCATTTGCATGCAACAGCAGGAGTTAGATCCCTCTTTGTGTGTACAACGCAAAGAGCTCGTGGTACACAAGGTGATGTCCCAAAAGCACCGTTTTTTCAGAAGCTTTTTGATGCGCAATACCACCGGTCCTGAAAGTGTTCAAGCAAGATTGCAAACCTTGAACACACCAAGTGGGCCACCAAGTGGCCCGGATCCTTGCCAAGATTGTAAAGCATGAGTGTTGGGGTTAGCGATCAGAAAGTGCTTGCCGGCCGAGCTTTTTTCTTCCCAGTGTTCAGTTATGACTTAGTGTGTTCAGCTACTGCAGTTGGTAATGTGAGCTAGGCTGGACCCAGGTCCTATGTTTGTCATCCAGGTCCCCAGTTGCAATGAGCCCAGGAATCCGGATGGCAGCTTCTGCATCATGTGGAAGTCGGACAATTCCACCAGCCAGGGCAGCCCAGATGGACGATCACAGCATTTTTGGGAGACCAACCCACCTTGTTGATTGATCATGACTGGAATTTGAGATGAGCTACCATGGAACAGGTTTTCCATGGACTTTCCACCTGGCAACTGTAGATGATGGCCCAAAAGTGAGATTTGGAGACCCCAAAGGGAGGACCAGCATGTAGCAAGCAAACCACAGGGGCTTTCTATACGGTGCTTGAACCCAGATCCCACTCTTACTGATCGATTCACGCGTGGGGTCCTTCGCCATGGTGCCGCAGTTGGCGACATCCCTGAGATCCGGTCTGCGACGGCGACGGCTCGAGTGGACTGAGGTGTCTTGCCGAACGATCATGTGAGAAAGCTCGGGGATACTTCGACCCCGGAGCCGGTGAAGAAGATCGACACAGGCCCGACTGAGGGAGTGTTCAGAGAGCAAGGGTTTTTGGAGATATCCACACACAAGATGGAAGGTTGGCAGGTGGGATGCCTCTTTTGGATGCGCTGTCCTACAAAGGCACGTGAATTCGACGTAGGTTTTTTTTTTTTTTTGAGTTCCGTTTTGTTTGCTGGTGCAGGTCTCTCCAACTTGAGCAAGCAAAGTCAATTGCTCATGAGACTCTTGCGGATGCATGGTTGCAGACATCGATTTGTGCGTATTGCCGCCCGAAACTTGACACATCCCGCTGCAGCTGCAGTTTTCTATTCACATCCCGCTGAACTAGAAGCACCCAAACCATTCGTATGATTGCAGCCGCCATGACGTTGTGTGCCACAAAAACCGCAACGACTTGAAGCCTGTCATTGGTTTTTGGGCACTCAAGTTCGGATCCTAGCACTTGGGATCTTCCTAGTAGGAACCTCCTCCAATCTGTCCAAAACTTGTGGTCAAAGATTTGCCTCAAAGAATGACCAGCATGAAACCTGTGGGTCTTCCTCCCAGAAGGCAATTGATCAAGCTTTCACAGGCGTTTTTGATCGTTTCGGCATCAGAACCATCACAACACCACAACTCCCAATGACTTGGTTTTGCTTCAAAGCATCACTCACCACCCCTTCTCTTCCGGCCGCAAAAACCCGACGCGAGTGCCGGTGCCGCCGGTGCCGGGACCGAGGAAGTCCAGGCCCCGGTGGAGTGACCGTGACGTCTACGCGGCCGCGGAGCCTTTGGCTTTGAAGGGTTTGGGTGAAGCGTTTTGACTCCAAATACTCCAAGCTCCAGTCATGGACCGACCAGTCCAGTAGCTCCGTGGGCTCGGTGGTAGGTGGGAGATGAACTGACTATAAGCCTGGAAGTCCAGTCATGACTCAACTTTTTAGTCCCTTGGTAGTGGTGGGTGATGACTATCAAGGTAAAGCAAAATGTAAAATGTTGGAAGTTCTGGGCGATGTAGAATTGACAGGAGCTTGGGGTTAAGGGCTGCAAGAAACATGGTTTGGGTGATGTTTGGGTGGCTCTTCATGTTCAGTGACGCCATCTCAGTGCAATCTGTGGAAGTACCCATTGTCTCAGCCGTCGGCTTGGACGT